TGATACTGTACATGACGTCCTCCACCCCAGAACGTATTCCGCCGTTCTCGGTTTTGGGGTGTGACACCATCCAGTACAGGTAATCATATAGATATACCAATCTAACATATCACTACAGTATAACAACATCCTACACACAAAGACACATACTACAATACAAAGTATAGTGAGAAAACTCATATCGCAACCTAGTAGAAACAGAACCGATCACATATCCAAAAACCAGCTCTACAGGTCACCTATACAGCAAGCAGGGAACCACATCTTAAACTAGAGCCCAAAACCCTAATTTGACCTAAAGTCAAACTTGGTCAAAAAGGCAACGGTCAATGGTCAGAGTCAATAGTCAAAGCCACTCAGCCAATCTCCACGACGTGGAAAAGCTTATGCCATGTTGTGGGGACTGTAGGACAAAACAGTCAAGAATCTGCCAATCGTCACGACGTGGAGACCAAACCTCCACGATGTGGGAACTGCCCAAACTAGCTTAATTCATTAAGCTCTTAATCTTTTACCTCGCCCATCCATACTTTCCAGTAGGCTTTCATATCCCTAAAAGATCATAAAAATTGTTGCTTTATAGACATGCATGTCCAATGTATGTCTTGAACTCAAGCTAGGTCAAAATGGTTGAAAATGGGGTCAAGATCCCATGCAAGAGTTCAAAACTCTATCAAACTTCAGATCCATCACTTCTAACTATAAAGGGACTCTAGGGATCCATAAAGTTGGCAACTTTATGGAACCCCAACACTCCAACTAGCCTAAACATGAATAAAAACACATGAAACCCTATATCTAAGCACATAGAGTCATAAAGCATAGAGCTAGAATACTCACAAAGGTTCAGAGTGTGTGAGAGAAGATAATGGTGAGGCTTGCAAGCTGAGACGATGCACCAAAACTCTTCTTTCTTTTTCTTGGCTAGAGTTGGTAAATTTGATCCAATTAATTTAATAATATTTTCTAATTTATTGGGATTTTTAGCATTAATATTACATTGGTTTATAGATAATTTCACTTTTTGGTGGTTAGTTACGAAAAAACATCTAAGTTTCTAAAAAATAAATGTGTGCAAAAATATTATTAACTATAATGTCTATTAACTTTCAAAGTTGTTTTACGTTGTCTTAAGATTAACGAAAAACATGAGGTTAAGTGTTCAAACATCTGATATTGAAGAAACGACATTTGAAAACTGATTTTTGGACATATATATGACAAGGAAAGGTCGGTGGTTTAAATGATGGTTAGAGAATTATTAATATCTTGGATGATCTTCTCATTACTGATTCATTTGATCCTGTTGGTTAATTAATTGAAATTTTCTATCATTCTATTATTATTCAAAATGTCAAGAATCCAATTTGTTTTTCAAGAAAGAGCGATCCTTGAACCAAAAAATGAAGACGTTTGATTCCTAATTGGTTCATTAACGAAGGTGGTTGTCTTGAGACAACCAGTGTTCATTAACTAGATTTATCTATCTTCTCATTACTGATTCATTTAATACAATTGGTTCATTATCGAAGGTGGGTTTGTTTTTAGACAATCAGTGTTCACTCATGTGCAGTTGTATGTTGTATTGTCCAGAGTAAAAAGCAGTGGCGGATTTAGTATAAGGCACACGGTTTTTAGTGCAACCCCTGACTTTTCCAAACACAGTGTAAACTTTTCCAAACACAGTGTAAACTTTTCCGAAAATTTTCAAAAATAAAAAAATAATTCCTACTATCGTGCAACCCCTGACTTTCCCATGACACCCCTACTATTAGATCTTGCGTCCACCCTTGTTAAAAGTAGAGAAATTAAAATATTAATTTTAGACAATCATGGTAAACTTACCAATAAGACATCTAATCTTGTATCCAAAGAAATCTTCGAAAATTTGTGATTCAACCCGATTATTTAGAATATGTCATTAGTTTTTTATTATTATATATTGAATTGTTTACTTATTCATCACTGCAGGTGTGTTTATCTCTAAATTTTACTTTTAAAAAATATTTAATATTGATATTTAACTTTTGTTTTAATCATCCCGTGTATATATATACACACACACACACATACATACATGCTTCTCAGCATCCTCATTTTCTCAAACATAGCTTCATTTTTCTCAACCATCTAATGTGATGACATGGCTGCCATGTCAGCTTCTTTGTCCAGTGTCAGCTTCTTTGTCCGGTCAGCAACATGTAGGGCTTCCCAGTCAGTGCCACGTAATCCAGTGACCAGCTATAGAAGGTAAAATTGGATGAGGGGAAAAATGAACAAGTTTTCCAAAATATTAGGCATTAACGCACCTAAAATTGTTGCAGGGACAAAACCGACAAAAAATGCAAAACTTAAGGTCTTTCATGTCAATAACCATTTATATTAAATACAAAAATCTAACTCAAGAAAAAAAATGGCCATTTAGCATATTAACCAGTGTTTTAAAAAACGGTTTGAACCGGACGGTCGAACCAGTTGGATCGGAAACCGAAGAAGTTAGCGGTTCAACTAGCATCGGTTTTATGTCTATTTCTGAACCGGAATGAACCGGCCGGTTTTTACAAAAACCTGGTTGAACAAGTTAAATTAAACTGGTTGAACCGGTTAAATAAAATAAAAACACATAGAAATTAATCATTTTACATAACACACTTTGTCGTTTTTTTCACATCTATTTAGATTTTTTAGAATAAAAACACATGGTAAATGTTAGAGGTTTTTTAATACGTTTGTATTCATCTAAAACTATATTTTGTTTCCGTATTTTACTATATTTTCTTTCTGATATACATGGATAGATGTAAAATTTATGTTTATATGTTTTTTTAATGTATTTTGATCGATCTACGACTTGTATTTATATGTATTTTTAATGTTTAAACGTGTGGATGTCTATGTGTGTAGGAAAATAGGAAAAAAGATGAAAATTATAGAAACCGGTTGAACCGGCGATCGAACCGGTTGAACTGAAACCAGTCACCATACCGGTTCAACTAAAAAACCGGTTTTTAAAACATTGATATTAACCTAATTTCAATTTTATGTTTTATATATTAAACAAAAAATGTAAAATTCAGGGTCTGTGTTTGCTGAACTTACAAAACATAACAAAAACTTTTAAAAAATTTAAAATGCCAAAACATGGTTTAATTGTCGCATTGTACGAATCGTATACCCACGCTTCTCTATTTTTTGACCATCAACGGCCATCTCTTATCATCTTAGAACAATTTTGACCGGATTTAATATAAACTGACACCTAGTTGAAACTGTTTGTCTTCATTTGACATTCTTTAATCCATTAGTCTATAGATATTCAGCACCCTTCTATGTCCTCATTATTTAAATAAGAATATCAGAACCAAACAGAACGTTTACATGCGTTTTTTGGTTACTAAAAAACTCAATACACAATACAAACTTAAAACATTAAAAAACATATCATGATTCATGAATACATAAATGATAAATCAAATTCAAAAAACAACTATGTAATCATTTTTTTACAGTTTTTCCGAAAAGTTGTAATATCTTTCACATAATTAAAAACTATATTTTCATTGGCCTATACAAATCTAAACAAATAGAAAGAGTAAACGATAAATGACAATGTGACAATTATATATGTATCTAAACATAACATATACAAGAGTAAGAGAAAGATGGAATGGATATGTTCTAAAGAGAATGCAAGTGTTTGATCCTATCAATGGCTTGCTTTACTTTAAAAGATGGTTCATCATACAAGAAGCCAAACTCATCAAGTTGTGTCGCCATGCTTTTTTCTCCAATAAAAGCACGAAAAGATTCTGCAACAGAATTGGAAAGAGACTTAAGGTTGTATCCTCCTTCCAAGAAAAACACACATCGACCTCCACAAAGCTCTTTTGCAAGCTGTTTGATGCTTGATGCCAGCATGTAATACGTTCCTGTTGTGAATTGGAAATTCGCCAGTGGATCCAGTACGTGTCCATCATATCTGAAAAAAAAAAAAAAAAATTGATTCATGAAACTTGTAAGAGAAGAGAACAGATCAGAACAATATATAAATATGATTTTGGTAGAAAGAAAGAAAATCTGACCCTGCTGAAACAAGAATTATATCGGGGTTAAATCTTTGGGCTGAAGGTACGATGACTTGATGGAAGACAGTTTGCATGGCTATATCACCAGAGCCTCCTGCTAATGGCAAATTAAGTGTTGCTCCTTCACCATTTCCATGTCCTATATTATCAATTTTTCCTGTGCCTGGGTAGCTTCCATCCTAAAACACCAATTTCAATTCATAAAATCCAATTTTCAAAATATAAACAAAAAGGTATTTAATATTTATGCAACAATGATTTTTATGTCATTACCAATTTATGCAATCAAATGGTTTGTTATGTAAAATATGCAACAATGTATCATTTTAGGACCAAAAAATGCAGCATTTTACTGAAAAGTGGTTGCTTGATTTGTACTGGTTTGTAATTTTCTATTAGACAGGGACCATTTTTCTAATTTTTTTAACCACATGGACCAAAGAGTATACTATTTAAACATATGGACCATTTTTGTAAAAAAAAATGCACAGGCCACAGCGACCTTTTCTGTGAATTACAGGGACAGCTTTTGTAATTTACTTTCTATACAAGGACCAAACCTGCCAAGATACAAAAGTATTGTGGCCAAAGTTTAAAAGCCAAACGTAAAAAAATGCACAGGGACCTTTTCTGTAACATGCGGGAACATCTTTTGTAATTTATTTTCTACACATGCCAATATTCGAAACTATTATGGCCAAAGTCTAAAACTCAAAAGTATACTATTCATAGACAAGTTGCTTTTTATTATATCTAATAATTGGTAACAAAAAAAAAAAAAAAAAAAAGTGAAAATTTTTGCATAGATTGAAAAAATTATGAAACTTTGTTGCATTCTTGGCTTACTTGATGAGTAGAAAGAAAGAATATATCAGGATCATCATAAAAAGCATCATTAGTCCCATTTCCATGATGCACATCAAAATCAATGATGAAAACACGTTTTAATCCATGAACACGTTGAGCATATCGAGCTGCAATTGCCACATTGCCAAACACACAAAATCCCATGGGCCCCTTTGGAACTGCATGATGTCCAGGTGGCCTTATCAAGGCAAAACCAACAGGAGGATTTTCACTGATTTGTGATGCTGCCACCTTACAATTTCATGTCATAAAATAATTACAATTTCAAAAAATAAAAAAAAGAAATGAAATGGTTAAGTCATTAATTTAGTTCATTACCACTGAATCAACCAAAGATAGGCCTGCTCCAGCAGCAATTAATGACTCGTTGAATGTCTGCATTGTTTATAATGTCATGGAAAAAGCAAAGATTTTAAAATCTTTTGGAATTATAATTAGAAGATTTTGAAGTAGATGCTAAGAGTTAGTTTTGGTTGGAATGGAATGGAACAACAAAGGAATGGAATGGAATGAGTCATTACATTTCATGATCATGTATTATTCTTATTCATGTTTGGTTGGCATGTAGGAATGAAATGAATTTTCTACATTATATGTAAATACAATTACATTATTTAACTTTAATAACAAACTTTTAGTTGCAAGAATATAAAGTTAAATATACAAAAAGCTCTTAAAACCAAAAAAATAATAATTTATGTTGATTTTTTTTTTTAAAATAAGATTCTAAATGCAATATATAATCTTAAGTTCGTAATTCTATTCTATACATTACTTTAATTATAATAATGACCTTTTATTTACAAAATTCTTACTGTGGAAGTGGCGTATGTGGGCCCAGAGCCATCAATGTGTATAATCCCCTGTTCTGAAGCCTGCTCCATAGCCTATACAATAACATTTTACAAAGAACATGACACCATTACTTTTTAGTTTTAAAGTTTTTAAACCCTATAATTTCTCACTTTTGTTCATGTCAAGAAAAAGAAAATCTGTATTACCTTCTCAAGGCCAAAAATATAAGATTTGGTATGTACACTTGCAATATCTTCTGCTGTAGCTGTTCTAAAATTTTGAAGTTGAACAATCTCAGATCCTCGAAACTGCATATCATTATAAATGTTCAATTAATCATGGAATCTTGATGTATAATAGCATAAAGATAGTTCAAAAAAAAAAAAATCAAGACTTTTGCAGTTTTTTGTCCCCTAGCAAAAAAGGTGCCATATTTTTATAAGTAATTGAAACTATTGATTCAAATTTGTACATAAATTAAATGATGAAACTAAAAACATTGTCTTGAAAGGGAGAAAAAGATTGAATGTGAAAATTTATACTTTTTTACCTTTGGAGTAAGTTCCAACTTTTCAAGAGCATTCACAATTGCAGGAACTCTTGAACTGCATTCTGGATGTGCTTCCTGTTACCAATATCATGTAAAACTTGACCAGGTCTCTTCATTACACATTTTCTATACAAAACAAAAACATCAAGTAAACTAAAAAAGATGATAACTTCTATATTTGAACTGAAAATGAAATCTTTTATCATTTCTGAATGAAACAAGAATTCCATTGAATATATGAAAAGATGTAACAACCTTTGTTAATAATTACCTTGTTATGTCCCATTGCAGGAGCAACACTATAAATCACTTTTGCTGTACTCTCTTTCCTCTCGTGGGGTCCATTTAACTTCTCAGATGTACATGAAATGGAAGATTTGAAACATTTTCTTTGTGAAATCAGATGTTTTAGGAAGAATCGACTTCTCATAATTGATATCAAACTATGATGATGTTCATGCATGCCCACATGAGGTCCCAAAAGAATCTGCACTCCACCTAGAAAATAGAGGATACACATTATCAGATTTTTTGTAAAAGAGTTTTATACAATGCAATATTCATCTTTTTTCTTTCGTTTTCTTGTTGAAGGTAGAAAACAAATATCCAATCTCCCAATAATTGAGAAGTTATTATGGTCAAGTTTTAAGACATTAACATTAGGATCATGAACAATCAAGGAATAATTTTCTATATCGGTGAACACAATGATAAGTGTGAAACATGTGTCCAAGCTAAAATGAACAGCAAGAATCCATTCCTTCAAGATGAAACAGATTCAACTATATGTGAACTAGATCTAGATGGACAATTAATTCGAGTTAGTAATATATATTTCATCAGCTTTATTGATGATTGTTCAAAATGTACTTATGTATATCTATTAGAAACAAAATATCAGGCCTTTGAGAAATTTGAAAGATATAAGGTCAAGTTAGAAATGCAAGATGGGTAAAAGGATACAAAATTTTATGTGGTGATAGAGATGGAAAGTAACATGAAGTACTAGAATGGAGACCCTTAAAGAGTATCTTTGTGGGTTATGCTGAAAATGCAAAGGCTTATTACCTTAGAATTTGGAGTCAAAAGTCATCTTTAAATCATGGGATGTTGAGTTCTTTCTATAAGTAAAATAAAAAACCTTCCAATCGCTTGAGACCTAGTGGATACAGTTGGTAGCAATTCAACCATTACTTAGACTTTAAATCTACTTAAAGCTTCAATGTGGTAACACAAGTTGCTGATAACTAATTCGGATATTAGTTAATATAAGTACATAAACTAGCGAGTAATTCTTTAAGGGTGAGTTTTAAACTCTTAATGAAGCTCTCATTTGGTTATGAAAGGGACTTCACCTTTGTGGATATAAGGAGTGGTGTGCACCTTCCACCAAAATAAAAAATTATCTTTCAAGATATCAGAAAACAAAATAATTTGAGTGTGTTTTTGGGCGTCAAGAATCCTGTATGTACTTCCCCGATGTTCATACATACGTTATGATTCTAACAACTGAACCATTTCAAACAACTTTTTGACCACCCACAGAATTGACATCGACCTGTTCAATTAGCAACTCACGAAGTTTTTATCAAATTTGGTAAATTCGAAATGGAAAATCCCTTCTTTATATTTTGTTGCAAACAATCACTCACACAAACTCGTATGAAAAACACATTTCAGCTTTATGAAAGGGTACAAATTGTGTAATTCGCGACCCAGATCAGAGAACAAAAGGATTGGAGATACCAGTGATTAGGGAAACTGTGAAAATACATAAAGAGCGAAACTAAAAAGTAAATCATCAAATTCGATGGAACAAAAGCCACAAAAGGTTCAGAAGAGCAGAAAGAATACACTAATCGGCTAAAATCTGAGCATTTACCTCCGAAAATTGAACGATGAAGCATAGCCTGATGCTCCATTTAGCGCCACACAGTTTTCCGAAGAGACAAAGGGGAAAAATAGAGAATGGGATAACAGGGAGAGCCAAGAAGCGCAAAGAAGAAAATGACGATAAACGTGACATAGGTGCGTACGGAAGCAGACGTAGGCAAAGCCGTAGCAATTTAGCAAGGGAATTTGACTTATTAAGGTAATTAAGTATTTCAAATGTTCACATATGGGTAATATTGTTTTTTTTGTACTCATTTACCCAATTAACTTTTTTCATCCGTTCAAAAATAACCAACATTACCGGCTATTACCTGTTTTAGCCGGTAACATTGATTTAGCTGGGTTGAAAACATTACGTGGAATCTTACGTGGTCATTACACCCCTTTCTCATTTAATTAGGGTTCGTCATCGTCGGCTAACACACCTCGATTACCTTCTTCTGTGAGAAATCAATCGATACATCAAATCGACGATTAGGGCTTG